CTGAGGATGAAAGACTTGCCCTCCTCCACAGACACCCTCTGCATAAACATACTTAAAATGAGGCTTCACCTTATCTAGGGCAGAGAAAGTCAATCATGGAAGACTAACCCACTTCTTAACCTGGAGCTCACAGTCACCATCTCTTGGGCTGAAGCACATGGAAAGGAAATTTTTTAGTAGTGCTGGTAAAGAGAAGCATCTCAAATAGAGCCGTGAGCAGCTGACCAAGGCTGTGTCTCTCCTTTCTCCCTCAGTAAGCAGTAGGGCCATTTAAAACTAGAATGTTTGCATTTACCAAACATGAGCATGCAGAGTTACAAATCAAAAGCTGCACCAAAAATGTTATTTGTGAAAGACTAAAAAGAACATTTCTGAACTGGTAAACGAATTACACTAATACAATCTCTACCTCTTTCATTAAGGAAAGGCATCCAGTTCTGCCCCTGAAGTCATACTCATAAAATGGAGGGTTTATTACAAAAATACTAATGCCGTGTTATCTACAGTAATGCTCTAATAAATAATGATGCATCACGCCAGAAGGGTCTCATTGGAAACAGATGGTCTAAGGAATGGAAACATAAGCAGAGTATTTTACTGCAATCACTATCCAGGAAACAAACAGAGATTTGATACTATTGCCTCAAGAACAGCTCCCTCCCAACCCTTTAGTCTTAGCTATCAGTAAGCCTTGATTTTGCTAACAAACTGTCAGTGTCAGCAATAATGGCAGCACTCTGCTTGCAAACCATTTTAGGTGCTGAGATGCACAGCACTACACAATTCAGGGGATTTCTACTTTTAACAATCCATTAATATTTAACAAAAACTACAAAGGCAAAACTCTAGTATCCCCTTGTTCTTTCCTACCTCTGTCCAGAGCTGGTTCCCAGCATCCCTGTGTTCCTTCAGAACTATCACCCTAGGGATGAGCTCGACACAGGCTGTCTATACCCTGCTGTTCTTCTTTTGGAAGCAGGCTTTTACACGCCGTGTGTTCACATACAGGCCCCACTGAGGCCGTGTAGGGAAAAAAGTAGATGAAATAACCTTTAGATGAAGTGGTTCTAACCACAGGTCTGGAGAACCCACATCCATGCCTTTCTCTGCTGGTGACATGGCAGCAGGAGCCATTCCCCCCAGCAGCAGCCCCATGTCAGGCAGGGAGGCCAGGCAAAGCAAAGCATTTGCTCAGAGCCATCTGCCATTAAGCACGCTGATCACCCTGATAAGGGATCGTGTACTTGATTGCCCCAAGTAACTCAGCTTTTTCCTGCCTGCTTACTGAAGCAGGTGTACAGGATACAATACAATAATAATAATAATTAAAGTTGCTGAGCAGAATTACAGTAAAATTTGTATTCTCGGCATTGTGCCAATGCTTAAAAAAATTGCACTTGCAGGAGAAACCGTGACCTTATTATGCGTTCATTAGGCTTATACCTCCAGGGAGAATACCAGAGGAATGCTGCATTTGTCTTAATGACAGGATGTCTCAAGGCAAATGGGCGTAACGTACATCCGTGTGGCTGCTGTGACACAGACGCAGCCCTTCCTCTGCTCACAGAGACAAGCACGACATCGGATGGAGCCAGGGCCATCTCCTGACAGGGTGGCCGAGAGCCAGAGTTCCGAATAAGAGGAGTTGGTGCAGTTCATATTTGTTCAGGGTTTATTTTTACCTGAACGCAAAACACAAAAGTCAGTAATGAGAGCCGCATCGGTTACAAGAGCTCAGCACCTGCAGCGGTGAAGCTGAATCCTGTGGCGCTATTTCAAACTTGACTAAGTGTAGTTGAGATCTGTCTGTCCTACAGCATGACAGCCCCACCCCGCCCCAGATCTGCCTCCTGGGAGCAGCACATATTGATGCTATTTCAGCTGAGGTGCTTGGTTATTACTGAATCAAGGAGAAAATCATGGGGAGCATCTTCTTGTATTACAAGTAGTACTACACGTCGCTTTTCTGCCTCCTTCCCAGCACTAATAAGCACAAGACCTAATTATCCCCATTTATAAATAACTTTCCTCATCCTATCTCTGTCCAACAGTGTTCTGGCAGATACCCTCAGCAGGAGATTTGAAATTATGTCCCTGCCAAAAGCTATTGCTGCTGATGAATCACAGCACACACAATTAAAAGGCTGTGCTTTTTATTATGTATATCCACACACACGCATAAAAATGTAAATATGTCCATGTGTGTGTGTGCACTGACTTGGAAATTCTATCCAGTATTTGCCAAATACAGCCAGTGTCAGCAGAAGTAGCCATCTGGTTTCAAACTAAGGGTGTTTCTGACTGTCTTTGCTGGAATGACTTCACTTGGGGAATTCCTTGTCAGTGCACTGCTCTGGGATTTTTATGGTACAGGTGGCAGACACGTGGCATTGTAGGACTGGTTGCTGTTTAAAATCAAAACATGTGTTTTATATAAAGTCCCTCTCAGAGACAAATGCAGATTTGCCAAATCTGATTTTTTTTTGCCAAAAACTAATGGCTATCCTGCGAGGACAGATCTTCATTTGAACTTTCTCCTGCTGGCTTGTTTTCTGCCCCCAGTCTAATCCTTTAAAGGGCTCTGAAGATTTATATTACTGCTCTGCCTCACAGCCCTGCCCTGGTCAAGGCCCTGCCTACATTATAACCTTCTGACATATTCCAAAATATGATGATGGGAATCCATCTGGAGAGGAAGAAAAGACCTTCTATGTATTTAACAGCGTGCTGCCTGACCCGGCCAATCCTTCATGCTGATAGAGACTGGAGGAAACTTTTCTTGCCAGCAATAAAACCAGCTGCCCTTTGCTCTCTACTGACACTATCTATTCTCTTTCATGTCAGCTGAAGCTATCTTTTCTCTTTTCCATTACCTCTTTTTCCAGCTCTCACTCTGTGTTCTGCGCTATCAAAGCACACTGCAATGGCCTTACAGCTATTTTACTGTATTTCTGCTCAGCAACTTTAATTATTATTATTATTGTATTGTATCATGTACACCTGCTTGAATAAGCAGGCAAGAAAAAGCTGAGTTGCTGTAGGCAATAAAGTACATGACCCCTTAGAATGAGGACAGTGCTGTGTCAGGGTTATGAAGAGGTCTGGATTATAGGGAAATATGCAAGAAGTCAAGGGAATGATCAAGGCAGACATTTCTACCATATTTTTACTAAAACTACCCTTCAAAGTCAGCACTAAAGAGTAAGACGACTGTCAGCAACACCAATCACACAAACACCCAAAATCTTCTTCCCGAGAACGTTCCTGAAGTGATACTTTGAGGTTAAATCTGGCCCCCATCTGCCCTATTGCTCCCAGGTACCTGTGGGATGTAACTACTTGGCTCCAGCCACACAGACTGCAGAACAATTTGTGCTTCTCACAAACACAACACATTTGTGAGGCTGGGGAGTCACATCACCATCCGACACGGAGCAAAGAGGCACAGAAAGATGTGCAAGGTCAGCAGCAATTTGCAGTGGAGCCAGGAAATGGTGCCAAACTACCCGGTGCCCATTCCTGCACCTGAAGTGCAGACTGTGCTTCCAAATGAACATCTAACTGCTGTGGCTCATCCTGCAGATCGCAGCTCAATGCTGGGAAAGCACCAGCAAGACAGCAGCACAAAGTCACAATCCTAAAAGATTGTGGCCAACAACACAGCAGCCCGTCTGCATGCTGTCACAGTGCATCTGGAAAGCCAGTCATAACCAACACCTACTTAGAAGTACTTAATGCCTTGGTTTTACACGGTACAGTGAAATGGCATCACAGGATCCTTCCAGCTCAGATCCATTCATGCAGGGGATGCAGGAAGAAAACATTGCCTAGGAGACACTTACCTGCACGTGATGGGAAAGGACAAGCCAGGAAAGCACTGCTTTGGTGCTCCACTAGTACACCCACATCCCTCCTTGCTGGCTGCCACTCAAAAGCACATACATGAAGATATCAAGGTTCTGTTAGCAGGGAGAGAGGCTGCTTTAAAAATAGAGTTGGCCAAAAAATTGGATTGTGTTTAGGAAACATTGGTAAAGCTCAGCACTGCCCACACTGCTCAGATGCCATCCTCCTCACGCCAGCATTTTATGATCTAATATTCTGTGAGGGTAGGACATGTCAGTCCTTTATATTCCCTGCAAATAAACGGTCACACTATTATATGAAATTCCACAGTAGAAAAAAAAGCATGTCTAAAGGGCAAACAGCATGGCAGCACAGCATTAAACAATTTGTATGAAAAAAGCAAGACAAAGAATCCTTACAATCATGAGATGCATCTCTGCCTCAGAAGACACTTCTCTCTCCCCCTGGGTAAGATCCACCGTCTGAAGCCTTGCAAAACTTCCCATTCTGTATCTAGCCTGCATCAGGAAGACCGCATTCCTGTTGGGAGAAAAAAACACTTGGCAGGAAGGAACCATTTTTCCCATTTGAAAGAATGGGAAATGGGAAATGTCAGTGCCTCAATGCCAGTGAGGCTGAAGGAGTCTTGCAGTCAGAGCTGGGTTTCCCAAGGCCACTCGTTTCAGGCAATTTCTGACAGTTCATCAGAGCTCTTAGCTGCCCCTGGAAGACAGCCCACCCCCCACTTCAGCTCTCTTTTGCTGGGGTGCTCTCACAACTTCCCACAGACAGGCCCAGCTCCAGGAACGCCCAGCGTCACCATCTGCTGCTGATGCAGCCACGTGGCACGCAGTGAATACAGGGGCAGTGAATACAGCAGCAGGTCAGAGCAGCAGGGCCTTCAGGTCCCTCAGCCAAACTCGTACGTGGCTTCAGGAGAAAAAGCAGAATTCATCACACAGAGGGCAAATTCGTAACACAGTGAGTGCAGATATTCAAACAGGGGCACCGTGCCGGGGGGAAAGGAAAGCTCTCCGATGTTCTCCGCCTCCTCCAAGCTTCCATCGGTGCTTTCTCTTCTCCAAATATGCCTTAAGTTAGTGGGCATACCTACCAGTCTTCCACAGCATGGAACATAACCACTGGCAGAAACACTGTTTTCAGTTTGTTTTATTTGCTAATGTTTTAATAAGTATTTTTGGTTTTGTATTTTGCTGCTGATACAACCATTTCTTTGTCTATCAACACAGATCAGTTCCATTTAAAATACACCAGATAGGGACACCTAGAACTAGTTTTACTGGAATATATATGTACAGTTATGTATACATTATATACACATAGGCATTATATATATATACATATATATATATACACATATATATAAGGCACTGTAAAATGTACCATCACTTCTCCGAGACTCTTTAATTTGCAGAAGTAGATCATATTTCTTCATATAATTTGAAATGTCTAACCAAGGAACCTTTCAAATGTTTCAGGGTTATACAGATATCAGCTATGAAACAAGCCTTAGTTTAAAATTCAAGTTATTGTGACAAGATGAACAAAACCTATTTTGACAGTAACTCTAATCCATTTATTACATAACTGCTTCTCTCTTAGAAGATAGATTCACCTGTATAAATAGTTCCCTTTGTCTCTCCTTATTATGTTCCAAAATGTGAACTGAAACTCATCCTGCAGAATGAAAAAAAAAAACAGTGATGGAGGATTGAATATAAACGTGGATAATTTATCCATTACTTAGAGAGAGGAAAGCCAAGACCTCTGTAAGCCAACATGTCTTTAAATAAAATGTACTAAAACAGTTCATGACCTTACATAAATCTGTTTGACTTAGTTAACATCAATGGAGCCTGCTGATTAAGCTTTTGGACATGCAGTAAGGTAACCTCTGCCTCTACGGCACGCAGATACGATTGGTATTTATAATGAACAAGTTTGAATGGGTTCTTGCTCAATATAATTAGTCTACATATGCAAATTACAGCATCAGAAATCCTGAAGCAGCTGCGGTTAGGAGTTTGGCAGTTGTGTGAGTTATAAGCCAATCTTACACATCAAATGGACGTGTTTCCAAAGAACAGAAACAGATGAAGACAGATAGATGAGAAGTCACACATCTTTGGGATGTATACATCCAGATATCCTGGATAGGACACTTTTTTCCACACTACTCTGTAGCAACAATTCCCAATTGTGCTGGACCACAGGATTCCTATTTAGTCCCACAACTTCGACAACAGACACTGGGAGAAGCTTCACTTCGTGTTGCCCTGCACCACCCGCTGCGGCCCCAGAAGCACGATCCGTTGGTCACAACCAGGAGGCACTTTTTAGAAGGTTCTTATTTTCTACTCAAAGCACCTTGAAGATGAGCACCTGCATTCACTTGGTTTAATATTTTGACACCCATGGGTTCTGCACTGGAACTGGCCTGCCCAGTTCAGCTGTTTCAGTCCATGTTTTGCAGAAGCAGAAATGAACAGGGGCAGCACCCCACGAACCGACTCAGCACACGAGGCCATGTCAGGCGTAACGCACCAGGGACGCTGGACACTTTAAAGTACTGAAGTGACTCAAAGGTTTAAAAATATATATATGTATTACGAGAGCCACAAAAAAGGTTACAGACAGAGCTCCACAAAGCCTGCACGGATACATTCCAACAATTCAAGGTGGCAGAACAGGTGAAATACAGACCATAGAAACGGTTCAGCATTAGCTTTCCAGACTGTCAGGGACAGCAATCTTAACCTCATTTTCCCCACATAAAAATAAAAATTGTGTGTATATATATATATATAAGTCTATATATATATATCTAGTCTGGACATAGATATAGTCCAAAGAAAACCACATTTCCACATTAGGCTTGTAGAGTAGGCATTCCCCGAGGAGCACCACGGTAACACCCACAGGGTGATCATCTCAGGCCAAGCTGATGTGTCCTTATGCCTTGTTAGCAATTTCAGAATGGCAACTCAGCACAGTTCATTTGCTGCACATGGCTACTAACACAGCCCTTAGTGCAACCCTTAGAGCTCTGACCAAACTGCAATTACATCTGTTTTAATTTAAAAAAGAAAATGCAAACGTAAGATATTTGGGCAGGTCCTGCTATCACCTTTCTTTAAAATTCAAGACTTGAGGACTTCTTTAATGTGCTTACTTACAGACACAGTGCTCAGGCTGTTCTAATGGCCTCCAGGAAAAGATGCTGCCCTGAGGCTTTCTCCCCTGTTACCTTCAGGTTTTGTCTGCGTCCAGTTTTGACGTGGGGGCCAAATGCTGGTTGCATATCAGTGCAGTATTTGGCCCAAAGTCTTTGCTATTTAGACTTTCCTATGAGGTCAACAAACAAAGCAGTAAAAAAAGAAAATATTAAGGCTTCAAGTAAAAATATTTCCTCTCTCTCCCACCCACATAGTAAGGTACATTTAATTTCATAATGCTCAATATATTATACAATTAACAATACAGAGATCCAACTTTTCAACGCAGATTGCACTACAATGGAAACCTGGAGGCTAAATGGGAGTGTATGAACAGCTAATGAAATGCAATATGCAATGAACATTGATGCATAAGCTAAACAAAATCTATTGCTGCTTTTTTTTTTTTTTTTTTTAAAGTAATACAATCCACAGCTAAAAATGAAAACACATTGAAAAGCTTTAAGACTTCTGAACATGAAATAAACATGACAAAATCAAGAAGCTACTTTATAATATGTATTAACTTGTGCTGGATTTCCATAGCTGATCCCACCTACTGAAAATGAGCATCACTTACTTAGCTTCAGTGGAGCCACACCAGTTTACACCACCTGAAAATTTGGCTGTAGTGTCTGTAAAAACTGAGGATTTGGGCGAAAGAAGAATTTGGCTGCTAACCTGTGAACTGTTTGAAGAACAATATTTTAACAAGGGAAGAGATTCTGCTCCTAAATCAGATGCAGTAAGTAGGTCCCCTGCAATGGAGCTATGGACACAGGTGCTTACATTTAAGAGAACGGCTGTAGGTTCAGTGCCTTGGCTGGGGAGGAGGCTGGACTTGCTGCATGCAATCTCCTGTTAACAGTTCTGCTCAGCTTATTCTGCCAGAAGATCTGAATGATTTACTCCAGGCTATAAGCACTGAATTATATGCAAAACTCAAAAGGAAAAAAAAAAAAAAAAAGGAAGAAGAAAAAAAGACTTTGGTACCATTGTGAACCTGTTACCATATCCAATGTGTCTTAATTGTGGCTGAAACTACTCACAAAATACATAATCCTTACATCCTGAGCCTGTAATGACACAGTGCAGCCATCCTTTCCTCTCTTGCCCTTTCCTTCAGAAAGAATCCTGGATCCTGGATATTAGTGCTTTATACGTACATCACTGTGTTCAGTCTTACTGAGAGATTCTCTCTTGACCTGCAGTTAATTTCAGAGGCTCTTTGGCCCTTCAAGTTCCTCAGTAGCGTTTTCTTTTACAAATGCAGGAGAAATGATCAGAGTGGAGCATCACTGGGATGCAAATCTCAAATACAACACTGGTGCAGATTCTCAGCTTAGCTTGCATGTATTTCACGCACATATTCATAGATACATGATAATATGTGTTCTCATCTAGATGGTGAGCCCAAATTCTGTGTCACCATCCCTTACGTGTGGCAGAAATGACATTTAACAAACAGGTGAGTCTCATGTCATTCTGTGCACCAGAGTGAATTCCAGCCCTTGAGGAAGTCCTGCACCTTCCACAGGAGCTAATATCAGGGTAGAATTGCAGATCAGTAACAGTTAAAGATGGCAGAGTGTAGCCCCTCAGCCCTGCAGCTCCACATTGAACAGAACCTTCTCTCATCATGTGTCTGAATAAGGTTTGACTGTCTTCAGTCTGTAGTCTCCAGTATTCTGCCTCGGAAGACTACTCCCTTTCTCTTTCCCTATCGTCTTGACTCCTCCTTCTGAATGTAGACTGGCCATTGGCTACTGGGAACAACTCTGGTTTGCCTTTGGTTTTACCTGTTTTAATTAACACATCCGTAAAATTATCATACTCAATTTCCTATTCACTGCTTGGCCAGTGACACGCTTCTAGCCCCTTGAATCTTCCTATCAGCTTGTCCAGTCTTCCAGCCCTCTGTACCTGATCCAGTCTGCCAGCACTCGACTGGCACCGCGGTGCCTCCGACTAGTGGTGATACTCCACATGCCAGCAAACTGCACAGAAGGACAATTGCTTCTCTGCTCTGCAATGCCCTTACAGCAGGCATTTAAAATATCACTGAGACCATGAAATGCACACTGATTCCGAGTTCACTCTCTCATAACTTTGGCCTATTTCAGCTGCTCTGCTTTCTCGATTTCTCCCTTCAGATAATATAGAGCTTTACACATAATTATGTTTTCCTCTCCAAAATCATGCGATACAAAAGGAGCATGTAGTAACTCTGTATTGCAGTAGATGTCAACATTTATCACATCAAAAGATCAATTTTAACCAGGCAAAAGTGAGGTCAATATTTGCCTTCTGGAATAATTAATCTCGACATAGATGAACACAAGTAAAATGTTATCGACACATCCTGAATTGCTACCAATTAGCTGGAGAGTTCTCCTTTATAGTCAAGGATTGGAAATGATTTAACCCCCTTGAAACCAATATCTTGAAAAACAAGGAATTTAGCTCTCTAGTCAAAACTGTTTACCAGGAGAATGAGGTGAAAAGTCGAGGTTTCATATGCTGACTGGCTCAGTGATAAATAATGATTTTTACTGACTTTGGCAACAGTCACTCAGGATATTTTTAACAGAACGCACACTCTGGCTGCTTAGCATTGGTCTGGACCTCCGTACAAATGAGAAGGAGATCAGGAACGGAAAGAAAAAAAAAGGAAATAAATATTTGTCCCAAAATTAGAGTTACCAGAGTTCTGATTTCTGAGACAAAAAATGGCGTAACCCTTTCTTGCGTTTTCTGTGTGTTTTTAAACAGCAAAGTTGTCTTTGAATCCAACAAAGCAAATGTAGTTTTCTGGAGACAGGGAAAGGAAACCTCAGAATGTTAAATATTTTGATTGATATTATTTTAAAAAGTTGTTCCCCAAGGGAAAGAAAATTCAAAAACCAAACAGAAAAATCCTTTGTCTTACAGTACTGAAGACCAGAGGGAATGTGCTAGTCATCAGGCAGACACCAAATTTATATCCTATAGACTTACGCTTGGCTCAGTTACACACACTGTAAATTCAACAGCTCATGCTAACCCTGCTGCAGGACTGCACAGGGCACCAGGCACGGCAGTAAGCATCTTACTGCCTGGATCCAACAGGCAAGAGGGAGGGTGCAGGGAAAGCAGCTGATGACTGTTAAGAACTTGTTCCCATCTGAACACTTCCTTTCGTGTCCACATGGATTTTATTTCTGAGTCAGAGAAGCCTTTAAAAAACAGGGATGAGAGGTGAGAGTGGAAGATCCTCACTGGTGGTGCAGTCCTTTCCCATCACACAGACACATGGGTGCACACACGTTTTTTTCATACGTGGGAAGGCGAACAGCAGACTGGAGAAGCTGCTGTTGTCTTTTCTCCTGCACCCAGCTGGGACTGAGGAGCAGGGAGCCTTTGGAAGATGACACAGCGTTTGTAGTGCAGGGTGCCCTGCCACGCTCCTGCCTAGCAGAACCTGACCTGCAATGCCTGGGAGACGCAGGGCAGCTCTCACACCTGCAGACTGCCCGGCACAGGGAGCACCCTTTCCTCGCCAGCAGAAAAGCAGCAGCTGGACCTCTGACTCCTGCTGGACCCATGGCTGGCCAGAAGAACTGGGAAGGGGCACAGGAAAACAGAACGATCCTGGACTGACCATTTTTTCACTGCACTACTGGTACGCGATGTTGGACAGACAGACGCACAATGGCTTTAGCACTCTCCTGCATAAAAAAATCCGCTCTGTGGTTGGGGTGGTAGGTGGCAGCCAGCTCCTGTCTGTCGGTTAAGACGAATCTGATGGACTGTACAATGTTATTCCGTCAAGAATAAGGCTGCAGCTGTTTATTTGGCCAAAAGATAGAGATGAAAACGGAACGAATCCAAAACAAGAAAAGGAGAGTGGCCAGCTGCTGCTGCTCCTTCTTTGTTGTTATTTGAGTCTTCACAGTGCTCCTAGCTTCATGGCTGGCTGAGTGGATGGCTCTTTGTTTTCATTTAATTTTATTTTACACTGAAATTTCATAGGTTGTTCCACCAACTCCAGACACCTTCTTAACATTTGAGTGTCTAGCAGGGCTGACGGGTGTTCCTTGGGAACTTGACGTTGAGCCTAGCCTAGATATTCCTTTTGGCTGTCCATTTATTTTACTGTGCGGTGTCTTCATCTGTATATCATCCCTGCACCAAAAGAAATACCAGGACATAATGTTAGTGAGCAAAGTTTGATAACAGAACGGCTTTATTCAGGATGAACAACAACTGCTGTTAGACTGAGTCCCACTGATGCAAAATATTTGAACATGAAAGTTGGTTGAAGCCAATGCACAAGGTGAAAAGCCACTGAAATGAGAGAATTCACTTGGCCGTGAGATGAGTGGATCAGACTGCAGTAATATTTGTTAAAATGCTCATTTAATCACTCGCTTAGATGCTTTGTTGAACCAAACTAATTGCAAAGTATCTGCAGGAAAGTTTAAATCTTTCCACTGCTGACTTTAACCCAAACTGTGCTTACTTACAATTAGAAACACAATGCTGTGAAAAAACACTTTCTAGATAAATATTCAAAGTTAAACAAAATTATCTTGCTCATCTCTGAAAGACATACAAAAACTGGAGTGTAGAACTTCTTAATCATAGAAGACACAAACTGAATCAAGTCAGGAAGCACATTATGATGCCCGTAATTAAAAACCATAGTCCTGATCAACTCTTTGAAATGATTTCCTTTCTTATGACCTACTGCCAGGGTGAAGCAACAACAGGCTTTTCTCAGAAGACCTTTTAAAGGTCTGCATCAAAACATAGCATGTCTCATCCCCAGGACTCACCAAGTGATGGGATAAAAGACTTCATGTATGTTCTGGAAGTCCCAACAATGAGAAACCGGGGACATTCACCAGAAGACAGCATAGTGCAGTAACTGCCGGGTGCAAAGAAAGCCTAAATATTTCCAATCAGCCTTCCAGGCCCCACACTGCAGCCTCAGCAGGGTCATGTGGCTCTTTCCAGACTTTCCATTGCAAAGTCAAGTCTCCAGAAGGAAGAGAAAGGTAAGTGCATGCAGAAGCTGCAGCTGAAGATATTGCTAAGATGCCACTTCTAACGATAAGGAAGAACACGAAGAGATGGCCTCTGCTTTCATCACTGCTTCTGTACTACAGGACATGCAGCACAGCTGAACACACAGCTCTCTATGCCAAGCACAGCTTCCAGGATCTGTGCGTGCCGTGATCCTGTTAGTGCCTCTGTGCCCAGACAAAGGTGGGGTCCAGCCTCTCTTTAGGCCATGCACTACAACAGCTTCACCCTTTCATGTGTAACAGGAAGGATAATTTGGCCTGCGTCTTGCAAATAATTATCAAGTCCGCCTTAGATATTAAATCACAATGAATTTCACAGCTTCATTGACCACCTGCAGTTCATGTTATAGCAAACATGCAAATATTTTGTTATTTCTGCTCTGTGCTGTCACAGAACAGAAGAGCACCCAAAAATATGCCACCTTTGTTGGCCTACAATGAACACGTAACCAGGGCCGTGCCTGCAGGGAGGCATCTCACAAACAGCCTCTCATTTCTAAGCAGCACCATAAGCAGTACATACCTTTGTGCTCCCACTGATTGCACCTCTGTAATTTCCACAGTGTTTACAAAGGAGACAGACTTTGGGCCTCCATAAGAGGGTGACCTAGGCATTCCTGTGGGGGACGATGGGACCTGGTGGCCTGGTGATTTGTAGGAGCCATTGCTCACCCTGCCTTGTAGTGCTTGGTGCGTCTGGACATTGTTATTGGCTAAATCAGCTTGCAGAGAGGTTGTGGAAGTCCTTGGAGCTCTTGTCATTGCACTTGAGAGCGAAGACACTGAGGACTGCAGTATAGGGTTCCTTGTGCTAAAACTGGCAGCAGCCATCAGATTGTCTCTAGATCCGTATCTCATCGCCATGCTGCGTGGGTCTTCAGAGAGCGTGCTGACTTGCTGAAGGCTGTAAGAGCTAGGGGTGTCATAGACACCTGAGTCTGCAAACACGGAATCAGGGTGCGAGTGGAGGAGCTTCTCTCTCTCTTCCATCTCTTTCCTTTCCTGAATGGATGCCATAATGGTCTTGGAGAGGTTGTCATAGCGGACTGGAGAGGGGTCTCGCTGATGTGGAGCTGGGCCCCCCAGCACGGGGCTGAAGCTCTGAGGTGGTTGGCGTTGCAGCTCGCTCCCCCGTAGATGGCACATTTTGGCTGATAAATATGGTGAGTGGTACCCGACAGAGCTGACTGCAGAATGGGCAACGCACTTCCTCCCCGAGGGTGACATGGGGTTTAGCAAACTGTCATATGAAAGACTCCCATTTCTGTTCGACAGGGAATTGGGAGAAAAGATGCTTTTGTAAGGAGTGGAAGCCGCCCCTTCAGACTTCATTGGATGAAGGGGCACTTTGTCTGTCCCTCTCCTGCCAGCAGATTTCAGGCTCAGAGATCGTGAATTGATAGCAAAGGAATCTATCTGGAGTGGGGAAGACTGATAGGTCTTGTGAAGGGAGCTCTTGCGGTAGCTGGGGATGTCCAGGCTGGGTTCGGACTGGTAATCAAGGCTCCTGCCATCCTCTTCTATCAGAGCCCCCTGGCTGTGTCCCTCTTGCAGGGTGATCTAAAACAGAGGTGAATATGAGAAACAAAAGCCTATAATAGACATGTGCAGATCTGCTCTCTGTGGGTCTGCACAGGAGGAAAAAAAGTTGGACATCTTCTCTCAGACTCACAGCTTATGACAAAAGTTCATAAGGTTCATTATGAGGAATCTGACTCCTCAGCACGTGGACAGCACCTCAGAATCAAGGAGTCAGTCACAGTAACTGCTAAGTAATATGGACTAATTAGTACATCAATGCACGAGCACAATGAGATAACTTCTAAACTGAAACTCTGTTAAGGTAAATGAGATTGTAATCTGGTAATAATGCCCTTGGAAAAGCACTCTGCTTCAATCTTTCCACAAATAGCTCTTGAGTTGAGTGATGTCTGGTTCTGAGTGCTGAGTCAGACATCCTTTGGGCTTCATTTCAGCACACTGGGGACCAGCACACTCTTATTCACTTTACTCAAGATATAAATATTCAACAATTCTGAAGATCAGGTCACAGGTCTTCAAAATCAAGCATCTAAAATTAATCAGAGTAGAGAGGCTCCCTCCCACCATTTAGACAACAAAATAATTTACCTCAGAGAAGGAAGCACAGGCCAGTATTTATTTATCTGCATTGAAAACAGCAGAACAGATGCAACAAGCTCAACAAAGCAATGCTGCAAAAGTGGACATGTTTTCATAAGAAGCACTGTGAAAATCTACACTGTTGCACAATGATGCCAAATGTTGCTGTTTGTTTTCACACTGTGACATTCACAAGACCCCTGTAACGAATTTTTCCTCAGCCTCAAGTTGTCCAGAATTAATTGGGAACAGATTGTGACAGGCTACTGCAGCTCACTCACCTGCTCAGCAGCAGCATGGTAGTGGACTTTGGGATTGTTGCTGAAAGCTGGCCGGTACTTGTACATGGCAGGTGTGGGAGGGCTGATCAACTTGGGTGAAAGGCCACTTTCTGGATAAGAAAAAAAACACAGACATTATATTGGAACGTGTGGATAGCATTCCTAAGCTCTTGCTATCTTTGCTTCTCTGCAAAATGAGCTCCATTCCACACAGAACGGAACTTCTGCTATTTTTGTGATGAATTCCACCAAAAGCAACAGGGCCCCATGTGGAAATAACAGTGCCCATGTTCAGAGCAATAATCTAAAGAGAAGAAGAAAAGGTATGCTATACAAAGTGGTGTGACATATTTTGGTGAGTAGTATTTTTGCTGTATTTCAAATTACTGGTTATTTAGGATCAATTCAGCAAATAGTTTTGTCTGAAGAAGGGAGATTTCATAAACAGTCTCAAAGCTTTAATCTTTTCAAAAATGAAATATTCGTTTCTTATGACTAAGCATTTTATGCTAATATTTTTGATTCCCTACTTCAAAATGACATTTTTCATTGTTAAACTGATAAAAACTTAAGAGGGGGTTTAAAAGAGTTTAAAAACTGCAAAACTGAAATACCCAGCTTAGACTTAGAATGAAATACTTCATGTTTTCTTTCCCCTTTCTGCTGTTTATTCCTCTAACTCACAGCTCTTGTAAAAACAAAACCCTTCACCCAGATCCCCTCAGTGTTCTGAAAGAAGAGTATAATATTTTAAAGAGGGTAAAATATTTTCATATTATTAAAAATAAAACACTGATCTCGCAACTGTACCTTCACTGGTCCCCAGCTGCCCTTTTAACTCAGAGTATTTGCTTTGATCTCCTTTGGGTGGGAGCGGTGGTTGCACATCCATACCTTTCTCCTCCAGACCTTCCAGGCTGATTTTGGACTGCAAATGACCAACGAATCAATTACTGCCCACAGCAAAAACACAAAAAAAGCCCCACAAGAAAAAAAAAAGAAAAAAGGGAAAGAGAAGAGTGAAGAATTCAAATTTAGAACTCAACAAGTTCTGAAACACAACTTCTGTGGTCCTTTCACTGGACCAGAAACCTTCCCGCCATCTGGAAGCTCTTAACTTTCCTCAAAGTACAACAGCCAATCTGGTGGTTCAAGGGTTCTCACAGTATGAGTTAAAATTAATTCGAACAGAGAGGCAGAAATTCTTGGGACAAAATATAATGAACTACTGCAAAGAACCTCTTTCAAAAGATGCCGGGAGGTCTGATAATAGATTAAGAACTGCTGTTACTGAACCTGGGTTACTTTTAGAAGATGAAGTACGAGACAAGGACTCAATCACCACTGGTGAGACACATCTGAGAGACGTGTCCTCTCAAGGAGATTTTCTATGACAAAGTTATTTCCAGGCTTTGGTTCCATAAAGCCCAGGATGTGCTCCTCAGAAGTGCCTAAAGACATCCCACCTTGCTCCGGTTGAGGTTGGCTTGGATCCCATTGTCGCTGATCTTCACTGTGATCTGTCGTTCAGATAAATCAGGTCTGAGGAAAGGAGGCTTCACGCTCACAGCCAGCTTCTTCTTGGGCTCAACTATGTACCTGGTTAATTGTTCAGTAGTTATCATTAAAATAAACTATAGCCTAAAAATTAGACATAGAGACAAGACAATCTTCCTACTTGAGGCATGATTAAAGGATGTGATAGAATCTACATAAGTAAGCTCCATTTATTTCAGTGGAAGTCAGCCCAAGTAATAATTAAAAAGCAATAAAAAGATCATTGAGGTTTTTAGTGAGCAAAAGGAGAGGATGTATTAAAAAAAAAAAAAAAAAGTAATTTTGGAAGCACTGATACACAAGAGCACAAATCATGAGAAGAGAGAAGGAGAGGCCTACCACCAAAGGAAGCAAGTGACTAGATCTTACCTAGTTATCATGAAACAGCTTCCCTGCAGTGGAAGGTGGAGGAGACTGGGGGAATAAGACCCAGCGAGTGGGGAATTAATGTGGAGAAGATGTGCTGTCAATTATAGCATATCACATGGTGACTTGCTTCTGTAGTGTGTTTAGAGTGTTAACATGAATGGAAGTAAAAGAAACAGGCCTGTAGCAAGCAACAAATCTAAAGGGAAATGGATGATTTTAGATACTTAATTACTTTCCAGTAGACTGTGACTCGGTAAGTGCAATTTGGCAATGGCTGTACAACACATAAGCAGCACAGTGCACAAGCTTTCTCTGTTTCATCCAGTAAAAAGGACATTCTAGCACTGAATGGCTCAGTGTCTTTCAGTATACAGGACAATTTGAACAGGTCTTAGCAAAATACAAAACATGGCTTGCTAAAAGTGAGAATAGCAGTGGTGATGTTGCTCACACACCTCTCTTAACCAGAATATCTCCCAGCTTCTAAAGTCCAGCTTAAAATATCTTGACCTGATTTTTAAGTTTTGGCTTCTCCAGCGTCTCCATTTTAATAAAAGTAACAGACTTGTAGAAGTTATTTGTTCTACAGCAAGTTAAAAAAAGAAAAAAAATAGACAGATAACAGTACTGAGGTCTGGGATTGCTCAGCATCATGAAAAAGGCCCAAATAAATCTTCTGGTTGTGATATTATTAGTGTGTACACAGACCAGACAGCTCAGAATCTAGGATATTTATACTCCATCTGATCTACTGCATTAAAATCCCCATTTCAAAATGTGAAGGGATAAGTCAATTTCTGCAAAAATAGAAAGCCATAAACAAAATCCTTGGTTCTACAATGTAGACCCGGTTGAAAATCTGTTCTATGATAATTAAAGTGACAGTGGGATTGAAAACCAGATGCCCTAAATCCGATTCAAGTCTCAAGAGGAAATGTTGATTTTAGAGAACTTCTTTGCGTCCAGTAGGCTAGGATCCCTCACCAATACTTGGACATTGACTGTGCACTACAAAAAGTCATGCTGGAAGTGTGGTAACATACTGAAAGTTAATACTGAAAGTCACTGGATGAACAAGTTGGTGAGACAAGGCTATCAGCTCTTGATTTAAGCTGACTAGTCATTCCAGATACCTATTTCTGGCATGAGGATTACGAATTATATGAAGAAAGCAATTGCTTGGGCAGGTTACAGCTATGCAACAGCGAAGCTGCTACCACAGCTACCTCTTTCCCAGCAACTTCTCCACCTCCCTTACTCCCTTCTTCTTACCTGGGAGCCAAAGGACTGCAGAGCACGTGTTCCACATTTCCACAGCATCCTCGGGTAAAAGGATTCACTCCCCCTCGAAATTTACCTGTCACCTGGAAACATATTCAGGTCAGTGCTCAAATTCTGGTTTCGTAAATCATTGCCCAACCCTTAGAAAGGCCAGGACAAGTGTGCCTTGTGCTAACAATACTGTCTTGCCCAAACAGGAGACCGCTGTTCTTTGAATGCTGCACATTTCCCCCCTGCTCTAGCACACCCCTCCACCAGCTTCCACACACACCAGTCAAGAGCCTTTCCCACGAGCACCATGAGTTCAATATGTGTGCATTTTAAAGCTGCCACGTTCACCTCTCCATGCTGTTCCTGCATGAGTTGTGCCTGCTGTCAGCCAAACATCCTGTATTGGTCTCTTTCCTTCCCTCCACTTCTCTACCCTGTTAAGACCCCTCCAAACAAAAAGGAATGACAGTTCTTAATGCCGGATGAGATCAGTGTTTCTTCCAAATCATCCTCTTCCTCCTGGCAGCATGAACCACTGTCTCATAGGGGAGGGTGCCAGGAACTCCCCAGTGATTACCGTGCTTACTTGGAAATTAGCTACTTTAATAAAAGTCAAGTCTTATTAGTCTGGCAGGATGTAGTCAAAGCTTCAGAAACGTTATAAAGGGTTTGTACTTAGCAGGCAGATACTTGAAAGTAACCATATGGGGATAAATACCAATAAAGCCAGAGAGATTAATAGTGGTTGCCAATAAAAGCATTACGTTGCTTTTTGCAAGTAATGCATTTTAATCAACTCACAGTTCTGATCTAACACCGAGTTTAAAGAGTACCAGAAATACTTTAATTACTTGCACATAAAATAACAATGATTAAATGATTTTGCAATATATGATGCTGGCCTATTTGATATTACATAAAACTCTTTAAAAGCTGGAAGTTCTGAATGTTGGAAGAGTAACCTGATGACTAAAGCATGGACCTGCACATCTGGCACATCCGCATTCATTCTTGGGCTTAAGCTAACTAGCTGCCAGATGCTGCCAAAGCACTTCATATCTCTGTTCAGCTTCTCAGACACAACATGAAAATCAAATTTCTCTACCTCACAAATCACATTAGTAATTATAGCAATTTGGTTTCCAAAGTAGAAAGGCTGCTCTGAAAGTAATGCCTCCTATTTTATGATGTTGGCCCATGACATCAGAGGCGGCTGCTGGTGGCATGGCAGCAGAGGTTGAAGCTTCCCACCAACATCCTGCTATGTTTGGTTGCTGTGTGACAGATGGCAGCAGGGCGGCACTCTGACAGAATGGCATCTGACATGGGAGTGTGTGTGGAGCACAGGTGTGTCACTGGGTGCTCCTTGTGGAAAGAACTGCACCTACTGACATTCATCGATGCTTGCTGAATGGTGATGGATACCCAGAAGTGGCTGTGAGCTCAGTGAGGGCTGGGTGGTGAATTTCAGCAGGGGTGACAGTGGGTCATTTCCACTGGCGCAGACTTTTATAAGTGCAGCATATAGACTCTTGATCACTGCGGGCTAAGCACACAGCTAATCTTCATGACTGTACTGAAAAAGAGTGTTTTTGTGGCTGAGAATTTGGTAGAGCAAGTGATGTCATTGTGATCTTTGTATTTGTTGCAGTTTCCGTGGAAATAAATAGGAGGCATTACTTTCAGAACGGCCAACACAGTTTGAGATACAGACAGAAAGCAGCCTCAGAAGGAGAGGCATTTATTCACTCTATCCAGAAACTAAAAATACCAGGCTATGAGCAGATGTTGGTTATTTTGGTTCCATAAAATACTTCCAGAGGTATTCAGAAAACACAAGAACTGTGTTCAGCCACCAGGCACTCCGAAATCACAGTCTGTTTTCTATGAATGCTCAAAACCTACGAGCTCTGGAATGAATGGACAGCAAGAATGCACAGTAAAACACCACACGTCTGCACTGCTGGCCTACAAAAATGTCATGGGAAAAGGGGATGTGTGCTGAGTGTACTGTAACTGGAGTCTTGACTGCAGACAACTAATAATGTCAGAAAAGAAAATCAATACTGAGACTACAGGAGAAAAGGGAATGTTTTAAAACAGTGGCAAAACCAGAAGCAGATCTCTTATCTACCACGGCTAGCCTGTGGTCCTAATTACTTAGAGAGGTACCTAAAGGCTGGGAACATCCATGCTCTGGTTACAGCTTTGCAGTACATAGGACTGCACAGAAATGAAGTGTTTCAGTGCTTTGGTAGCTCAAGAAACCAAACCAACCTAGAGTGCCTTTTCCAATAGTTATTTCAATTAAATTAAATGCAAAATTCTCAACCTGTCCAAATGTAACTAAACACAGAATAAGTTCTTTGTTTGTTTTCTAATTTTTAGTATTTTTTTTTCCTTCCTCACCCTCAAATTTTTGTGGACAATTTTAACTCCTGCGGAGAAACCAGCCCCAGATAGAACATGCAAGAGACTAAAATGCTTTGGATTTCATGTTACTATTGTTAGCACTATCAAACTTAATACTTGGCCAAAATCAATTTTAAAATTAAGACCAGCTGACTCCAAGCAAGACTAAGATAGACACAGCAAAGCATTTAAGGATTTTCAGCTACAGTAAGCCTGCTTTGTTCAAAGTCCGTGTTAGGCAGCAATTCAGGATGACTTCAGACTCTTTGCCTATGTTAACTTCTCACACTATTCATGGATTTTATGCATGGTTTTATTGTCTCTTGTAGGATAGCAAACAATCTCATCCCAGTGTACAAAGACCTCAGACAGCTTACTGGCACGCTGCATGCCCCAGCTGAGTACCTCTTACAAACAGAGGCATGCTATGGGTCCCATGACTAGATCTCTATCACCTGTTGCATGCTATCAGTGTGTGCACATGTATATAAGCAGACCCCAGACAGGGTGTGAACATGATACATGTGAGTAACTGCAAGGGAACTAAAGTTTACAGTTTTTTTGGCACAAGATGCTGTCAGCACTTGGTTTGGAGAAGCAAAACAAGTTAGGTCCAATAGCCTGTGTGTGTGTGTGCATGCACATACACGAGAACAAGGGAGACAAAGAGAGAGAGACAAAGAGCTGCTCAGGCCTTATTAAGAGCATGTGGGCTGGCTGGGGGAGTTCAAAATATCAGGAGATAGGGCAAAGACTCGATTTAATCTTTTCCTTTCTTTTGTTCAGTCTCATGATTTGTTCAGTCTGACTCATAAAGTCTGAACTTCTGGAGTTGACAGTACACACCACATAAAACCTATTTCAAGGACGTGAGTAGATTTCAAATGTTAAATAAGGCTTTGTGGTTAGGATAAGGGGAACATCTGAGCTTGCAGTGCATTCAAGAAAAAAAAGTGAAAATGAAAAATGAGGCAAACTTCCTAGATCCTCACAAAACCCTCAAGAAGAGTGTTGGGTTTTTTTTATTTGTCCAAGCTGACTTGCTGGCTTTTCTTTCCAAATCAACATCTTAGCTACAAACACAGAGAAAAAACTGCTGCTTACCTGCTCGTTGGTCGTGCGTCCTCGTGCCACTAAAACAATATGGAAACCAGTGAGACCAATGACTGGAATAAAGAATAACCCAGCCACACACATGACAGCCATTCTGTGCCCAGGAGTTAAAGAAACTGGAGTGAGTGAAGGGAAAATGAACGAAGAACAAGAAAAGGAAAAGGAGAAAAAATCTGGGAAATCAGGAGCATGTTTGTGATCTTCGATTAGGCTAATCAAATTTCACCTTAAGTCCATCTATTCCTAGCAACAGTCCTTATCATTGAGATTGTTCAAAAATGAAGTGAACTCACTGATCGTGGCTTCAATCATCTTGTAAAGACTGCTCTGCACTAACCTACCAAAGGGAGTAGCAATCCTCAGAGCCAGGGGTTAGAGTGTTACACTGCTGTGAAGATGACATACCTCCAGGGCAAACACTACTGTATCATACGTTTAAATACAGTAAAGAGTACTCAACAGTGTAGAGTCACACGCAATTGGAAGTAAAATTCAGGAGATGCTGTATCTTTCTGCTGTGTGCCTTAGCAATGACTGAGATAGACAAAAGATCAGGCACAGCATGGGGGTAACCATACCTCAGATGAGTAAAAAGAATTGTCCTAAGCATTTACAGGGGAGGAGCAACAGGAATCAGGAGAGGAGTAAACCTGCACCAGTTCCAAGAAGACAAACCTTCATATCCACTCCTTCATATTTTCCTCTAGGCCACCTTGTGTCTCTGAAGACCAAGAAGAAGGATACGTAATGGTGGTATGAGCTGCTCCCAGCTTTTCCATGTGGTTCAGTATGAAAATCAGGCCAAAGGTGAATACTCCAACCATGTGCGTACTTAAGGACAGCAAGAAGAGAAAAAAATAGCGATAGTTCCTCCGTCCTATGCAATTGTTGACCCATGGGCAGTGATGGTCAAAATCCTTGCAAAGAAAGGGAGAGACAGGGAACAACATCCAAACAGTGAAAGGAAATAGCTTTTCTTAGAGGTAAATCTGAACTGTCGTCACGTAAAATCACATCAAGCTAGTTCTGAAGCTTTACAAACCAGGTACAGCCTCTTTATAAGGCTCTTCTCAGCACAAAATGGCTTCTTTATATATGAATGGAGAGGTACTTGAGAGTTCATAGAGTTAAGAGAACACATCGCAACATAAAACAGGCTATTCATCTGGCAGCAGATGCACTGATTTCTTTTTAATCATCCATCACATGAGGAATCAATTACAATGAAGCTATCATACCCTATAGTATTCTGAAGATGCAATACTGGCTGCAGAATTCTCTCCCCGACATTCCTGTATTTATATGCAGCTAAACTTTTTAATTAGCAAGCTCAAGAAAAATACTTTTCCACAAAGCAGGTTCCTATAGATTTTCATATTTGTAAGTTTTGCCCAATATATTTACCAAAACTTTACTAAATAAAAGAAATCGATCGGTTTTCTCAAAGCACATCAGCAAATGCCAGAGGTGATTTAATAAGGATCATTCCAGGCTATGCTTGAAATGCTGACCCAGCATATGCCTATGATGTGAATCTGGTTGTACACTCCTAAAATATCTACAGATTATGAAACTATACAAATACCCACTGTGAACGTTTCAGTAAAGAAAAAAAATCCGACTACTTTTGTCATGGATTTATTTTTCATTCCATCTGGTCACAGCAGGCTTTGGGTTTCAACTGATTTTATTTCTGCAAGGGTTGTCATTTATTGTTGTTAGGTTATTTTTATCAAACTGGCTCAAAAGTTTTATATTCAGGCTAAGAACTTTCATAGCACATTCTAGGCTGAATGAGAAAAGAGGTGAATTCCAACCCTGCATGCGTTCCACACTGAGAAGCCAGCAGAGTCACTCTTATCACTGTCTTCAAGCTCTTGTAGAACAGACAGGTGAACAGAAATAAACATCACAAGAATCAATAAAGTATGCTGTTTAAGTTCACTATTTATTGATTCAGAAGTTATTAATGCTTTCTGCCTACATTTCTTCACGGCAATCATAATTTAATTAAACAAGCCGAGTTTCACTCATTCTTGCCCACCAGAAGAATAAGAACACTGAACCAGTCTGACTATCAATAAATCCTCCTGAGAAGTAGGCAGTCACCTTGCGTTCCGCTGGTTTATTTGGGTTACTTTTGGATTCTCTCTCATTTTCATTTCTGCAGCAGAACTGCCTCCCCTGGAGGCCCTATGGCAGCACGAAATTGCAAGTGTTTGTACCACTGGGTTTTGGGCAATCTTTTTCTGAGAAAACATCATTTCTTGAAAATGGATTTTCATGCTAAGCCACTGGGGAGAGGAGAAGAAAGAAATTCTATGGGATAATTGAGAACTTTATCATCTAAACAGTCCTTAGAATCTAGAAATAGTGAGAACGTTTGTTTTAAAACTAGGAATATATGAGCCAGGTTTTCTCCAAAAAATCCACCTCTGTTTAACAATACACAGCAGTCTAACGCAACTGTGTGACGAGGAACAAATAGTTGTGGCTATTCTCCTCCACCCAGGGACTTCAGTAGCTCCTTTCTCTCCATCTTCTCAGATCCAGCATCCTCCTTAAGGATTTTCTCCTGAAGGAGAAAATCACGGACACAAGATAAACCCTGTCAGCCTTTCTCACACAAGCAACTGTACTGCTTTCCTTGGGACTGTTCCCTTGCTTTTGGCAACGAGGATTAGGACAAAGATGGTGTACATAGCATTCTAGCTGATACCAGTAGTTTTTGCTGTCTGATTAGCAGCCCGTTTCATTTTAATGGCACAGCTGAATATATCGTAGACACATTAAAAGAATCACATTTCTATTTGGAAAAAAAAAAAAAAAAGACCTTGCATCAGAAATGATCCTTAACAAATGGAATTTTTAGCTTAGCTATAGAAACTGCCCCCAGGCAACACAAGTACTGTGGATACAGTACTCTGTACTTAGAATTTTAGGAGATGTCTATAGCCCAGAAGCACTCTTTACTATTTAGGGGTTATTTTTAAATATCCTGTGTGCATTACCAAGACCTCAGGGTTATTAAGAAACATGAAAGCCCTATAATTCAGAGGGACAACATTAGAAGCATGACTGAGTTCATGCTCCAAGCTGAGGTGTTGATGTAAACATAGAGCCCTTCCACTGAGTGTAGAACTGCACATAGAATTGTGACTTTGATTTCCACACATCCCCAGTGATCTTATGGTTCATCACCTCATTTCAAACAAACTGGTGCCCACACTGGTGGACAAACACACAGGTGAGAATAGTTCACCCTGAACTTTCCGCTCTCTTGAACTCTGCCTCTCCATAAATGCTCCCATTCACCTCTTTTTTACAATCACGATCCCTAAGCTACCTTGAGGAAGACACAGCCAGGATTATAAACCTTTTAACCTAATTATCATCAGCAACAAAGCTGACATCAAACAATATTGCATATGTAACATATAACAGAAGGCTGTGCTTCAAATGGTACCGATCAGTAGAAGACCATCACCAAGGTTAGAGCTGGGAACTTCCAAGAATTGAAACACTGGGGGAAGGACCCAACTGCACATTTCCAGTAGCATGTACGTGCAACCCCAATCACAGGGCCAAAGTCAACACAATCAGCAGCACTGTTACCTCAACACAGTTGTCACAGACGCTGCAGTGAGAGCAGCGTGGAGGACGGTAGAAGTGGCAGGTGGCGCACCATTTCATCCGTACTTGGATTCCTTTAATCTCCACATTCTTGTAAAGTGGAGCTCGGAAGTCATCGTCTTTATCTTCATCTTCATCTGCTGCTCAATGCAAAACTAAAAGTTACTGGAAATAACAGAGTAATGATAAAATATCTAATCCAGACAGTGCCTTGGATACAGGGGCACTGCACGCGCTCTTGGGCTTGTCAGAGAAACAGAGTGGTGGAAGTGATGGACTGTCAGAACAGGTTGTCCTGGTTGCTGAACATATCAGTGATCTGGGCTTGTTTCTGCACCTGAGGCAGCTCCCATGGGAGCACCAGGCAGCCAGTCCAGAGCCTGGACAAAGAGAAGTGTTTGAGTCTTATCTTAGCCAACAGTTACAGGCAGAATGGATGGGATGAGATGCAAACTAGAGTCAAAGAGGAGACAGAAATCAAGAAATATTCAAGCCCCTGTTGAGAAGGCTATTTAAGATTAATTCAATGCTAGCTTACCAGCACATAAATCACAAGAAATTACATTAAGAGATACTAAAATAAGGTTTTGTTAGCTCAAACCTCCAAACCAACCCAGATGACCCCATGCGATAATTTGTCAAGTGCTCCAGTGCCAGTCCACCACCATCCCAAAGTCCTTTTGCTCCTGGGAACTTGATGCCACAGTGAGAAGCAATCTGTGTGCCTGCAATGAGCCCTGGCACCAGTGTCTGCTTCCTTATAGCATCTTTCCTGCTCACTTCTTCATAGCATACCCCAAATATTCTTACTTTAGTAGCAGTACATAACTGGGATGATCTCGCTTCTCTCAAAGGCAGTACAATCCAGTGATTTGAGCACAGGACTGGAAGTCATCAAGTCCTGCATTCTGAATTTTTCACTCTGTGACCTTGGGATAAGTTATTTAGCCTCTCTTTGCCATTAGTAAGATGGGGAGAACAATATGGCAGTCATTTTATTAATGACAACCCAGTGGGTGGGTGGCTTATCATCTCAACCAAGTGCTGCTGTTTAAAAAAAGAGGCCATTTAAAAATAAACGCAAAAAATAACAGCCAGTCTAGAATGCATCTTGGGAAGAAAAGGAAAGAAGGATGTTCACAACTGCTCATCTTTTATTCTAGATTCCTGTAATCTTTGTTTCCTTTCGACAGAGACTACGTAAGTGGTTAAACTCTACTTAACACCTGGTAAAACACTGCAGTGCAGCTGGCATTGACAGACTCCAAATTAGGTGGAAATTCATGATATTATCCCGGTGGAGCATCAATAACTGTCATGCTGTTCTGTATTAAATCTTCTCTAAATGTGTTAGCCCTACTAAAATGATCGAATTTCCACCAACTTCACAAGGAGCTTTTCCCTTCGCTTAGATGAGTCTGGGATCTGGCTCAGCTACAATATTTACCTTGCAAGAATATTTTCTGGATTAATGTTTGTGCATGGAAGCAGACTGCTGTACTGGCACTGCTCCCTACAGTTTTCCTTCATAAACGATCAGTGGCAGTCAGTGGGAGCCAGACTCCAAATCCCTTGGGGCACTTCTATTGATACAATCTTTGGGTTCTTCAATGCTTCAAATCAGTCCATGCTGTGCAATGCATGTGTGGGCATAGGAAAACAAGACACGAGAGTGGTCACACCATTTAAACACTTGTAGAAATACTGACTATGCAGTCAAAAAGTCAGTAAGCTGTACATACCTACGTGCAGTGGTATGTGCTTGTATAAACACATCAGTCTGGCAGAATTGACACAACTAAGAGTATTTATAGAATATTCACATAAAAAATACTGGAAGTCAGTTTGCAGTTGGTATTTATAATTAGCCAGCAACAAACATCAGCAAACTCAATTCAGACTGTAAATCAGATTTGTCAGGGCAGTCTCAGTTTCAGTGACTTCCTTTTCTTCTCAATCATTTTAGTGTATTACTGGCAGCTCAATTGCACAGAGCAAGACCTGGCTCATATCAGGATCATTCAGAGAGCCAGCAACATAAAAAAAAGAATCCGTAAGTAGGTAACGGTCCGGGAGGTGAATTTAGGTCCTGTTCAGTAATACAAGAAAAAGGGGGCTTACTTCCCCCATGCCAGAGAACCTGTAAGCTCATAGATACAGCTGGAGGTGTCCTTATTACCAGCTCTAGGTGATCTGAGCACCAGAAGCCATTGGTAGAGGTCGGTACCTTACCACTCAGATTCTTTCAGTTATCTGCTGACAAAACGCAACCAAATCTCCTGGTTTTATAACACATCTCACGATTTTTGGCAGCTTCCTTAAAGGAATCCTGCCATTTCTTAAGACTCTGTTTTTGCATTGCTTTTCTATTATTTTGTTTTTAGAGTAAATTTGTAACTATCGGGAATGTGCTAAAAAGCTTGGAAACCAAGATAAATCTCTAATTTCGACAGCAGAAAGCAAACAGATCCAGCGTACATCATTTTAAATCACTCCCACAGTTTTTGAACTCCTTGGGTTGCAGCTCTGTGGGCGGTGTGGGGTAGCAATAGCTTTTTTAGCATGCACACTTGTGATCTGAAATAACATCTGCTCCCCTTTCCTCCCAGCAATGGTATTTATAGTCTTTCCCATCTTTTCCTTATCAGATTGCTTCCTTCACACATCTACACTTTTAGCCCCTCATTTTCTTTAAGTATGACTCCCATCTCTCTTGCACTTTTCCTACTCCCAGCCTCTTTCAGACCAAGTACATGCAGAGCACAGGGAGATAAGCCTGCGGCAACAAGTAAACAGAAAGGGCTGGAAGAAAGGCGAGCTGCAGGGCACTCCGCTTTGCTCCTGATTCCTTTGCTGAGGAACTGGAAATTAAAAGAAGCTGATGAGAATTAATTGATGGTTGGATTAGATGATCTTAGCAGTCTTTCCCAACCTTAATGATGCTACGAGTATTTCAAAGTTTCCATTTGATCTCCATATTCTTTTCTCCTTTAAATACAAAGACCAAACTAAAGAGCTTGTTGGCAAGAGGAAGTTAGAGAAGTCTAAAGGAAGGCATGAATTTACAATATGCTCAGTCCTGATCACAGTAGGGCACAGAAAGTCAGCAAACTCCATTTTGAGGAAAGCACACTGTACAAAGATATTAGATTCCCAAACGGAGATGTTCAGAACTGAACAGCATTGTTTCAGTGCTCCTCCTACTGAAGGCCAAGAGCGGGGATGCCATCAATGACCTCACACTCACAGCATATTCAAGTGTGGTTACGTCTGATGAGAGGGAGGCACTGAAAAATGCAGGAAACCAGATAAAAGCTCTATGTGCTTACATTTTTTAAATCTCACTACCACCCATTTGTACCTTTATGCACATCATCCTGCACAAATGACTAAATGTTGCCTCTGCACACAATTATTTCTTTTGCAGGAGTCTGCAGTAATTGCTCAGAGGTTCACAGGGCTCAGCTGGAGGGAAGGGCAGCAGATGCTCATCATTATTCCCCGCTACCTGGAGAAACCTGGCACTCACTATTCATGGAAGCTGGCAGGACAGGTACCTTGTTCTTGACAGGTGCAATGGCAATTCAAAATAGCTTTTATATTCACAGAACAGAGCTGGGCAAGAACACCTTGCAAAGAGCACAGATCCACCGGTTTGGCAAGACTGCCCAGAGCAGTCTCTGATGCAAACTGCATGAGAATAATTATTGGAAGACAGATAAAATTAGGTGATAATTCTCTCATTAAGTTGTGTTAAAAGAGAGAGCTCCACTGTGTTTCCCATTACATGAGCAGAGCAATCTTTATCCTATTTAATCAGCTGTGCACCCATACTAATTCAAGCAGGGATATCTTTTAAAGGTATACATTTTTAGACACTCTAAAGCAAGACTTAATCATTGCCTTTTCTAGCATTCAATGCTTATGCATTTGTTTTAAGGCTTTTTGGAAGGAAAGTCAGCTTTGATGAAGATGTTTCAGAAAGTTCAGCCTCTCCCCTCCACTACATTCAACTTCCTATTGTGAAGACAGCAACTTAAATCCAACATGCCAGCATGACACAGGGATGGCAACTGGAATCACATCAGTCAGGAGAGCTGCTCAAAGGAGAAGGATGCTGTGCAGTGCTGTACCCTCAACTGCCAGCCCCAGCGAGTGCAAGGACAACTGACACCTCCCAGCTCAGAAGCTGGGAAGTCTCAGAAGCTCTTCCTACTATATCACCTCTACTGTCAGCTGAGGGTAAAAGATAATACATAAACAAATTAAAAATCTACAAGAAAGATTATCAGAGAAAAGAAAAAGGGAGGGGGGGGAGAGGGAAGGGGCATCCATCAGTCCATCAGTTTTCTGTTACCTCGTGGAAAAACTCCAGGGTCCATGAAAGTAGCCATGCTGAAGTTTGCCAGCACAAACAAGAACACGAGCCCATTGTACACCGGGATGGCTGGGGAGATGGCTTTTGTCAGCCAGGGGCACCTGTGGAGGAGAACAGTTACAGGTGAGGGCTCTTTTGGCTGTATCGAGCAGTTTCTTCCCATTCGCCACCATCACAAAGGTAGTCTCATCCACTCTCCACCAGCCATTCAGCCAGATTCACAATTTAACATCAGAAATTTCAATTGCCAGTTTCAGCAATTTTCAGTACGCTGCAGCCGCCCTTTGTAAAGACGCTTTGTTCCAGAGCACAGAAAGCTCCAGCTGCTCACGTGGCTTGTGGGGCTTTGCAACCCTATTGCTTTATTTGCAACCTGGCATTTTGCTTCTCTGTGTAAAAGCTGCGTTCAATTGTTGCATTTCTGTTTATCGTGTACACTGCCTGCTTACAGACAGTGCCCAGTTCTCATCTGGCAGAAAGCAAAACAGGATTCTTACACCCTTGATCACCACAGCAGGTACAACGCAAAGGCCATTCACATCCCACAGAATCTTCCTGAGTGGTTTCCAACTCTAAATAACAAGCAAAACCAACGCTGCAAAACCTCTCCCTGGTGGGAATTTGGACAGAGCATGAGCTCTGCCAGTGGCTGCAGAACTTGGGAATGCTGAAAAGAAAGGGAATGGCAACTGCCATGAGAGTACTGCTCCAAAACAATGATAGACACAGCACACTCAGCACATGTAACTGGGCAGGACAAAAAAGACAAGGAGAGAAACAAGGGGACTTTGGAAAGAGCTTGGAGAAATGCCTGTTACTTACAGGACAGTTGCTCTAACCGCAAAGATCATTTCCCATTGCAGAGGAGGGCTGGACCAAGACAGGCAACCGGGTCCAATAAAACGCAGCGTTTACTCACTCAGCCATTTACAGCCTCTCTAAAGCTCACTGCTAAGCATTACAGCAATCTTATTTCTCTTTCAGTTCCTGCCTGCCCTGCCAGCAGGGAGCCTGGCAAACTGCTCAAGGCAGTCAGCAGCAGCACCTTGCCACCATTCACATAAACCGAGCATTAACACACACATTCCAGATCACATTTTGCCTGAGTTACATCTACAGCTGAATCGGGCTGTTTGCCAGCCTGAAGCCTGCAGAGAGAAAAAAAAACACCAATGCACACCCAATATTCTCCCAAATCTAATTTGCACTGCTTGTGCTACTGATGTGCTGTTTTGAACAGCTGAGAATGGTGTTACTGACTTTGAAGAGACACTGTTAAACACGTGTGCTCTTGTGGCCAGCATCAGAAGGACAGCACATTTTCTCCCATTTCTTTGTGAGCAGGCAAGAGACTTTTTCTTCCAGATAGCTGCTAATTCACAGAAAAATTACATGAGAGACTCCCTCAGATGATTAATGTAAGGATGAGTTAATGTTCCCATTTGTTATTCCCTTTGTCATGTTCCCAACAAATACATCAAAATACTATGAAAAACCTGAGCCATAAGCTAAACTAAACAGCTCATTTAATGGGTAAACACTGTGTGTGAAAATACTTCATGGAAGCTGAAATGAAGGATAGAGTGAGTCACTGTACATACTAGCCAGAAGGTCTGCGCACCATCCTTCCCTTTTTTCTTCCCAGAATATTTATGCAGTATTAGATATTACATAAAATTTTAGATGGGTCAGAAGAGGCCTCATTTGTAAACTGGGCTGATCGATAAAAACAGATGTGAGATCAAGTCCTGACTCATAACTGCAAAATGGTCTGAAAGAGAAAATCAAACTGCTAACAGGACTCACAAAACATGACGCATCCTCTCTATCCTTCTCATCTAATGCACACACAGTTTTAGCCAAAGTAACAAAAATTGTAATCCACATCTGGCAGGCTGGTTTAATTGCTAACCCATCAGGCAAAAGTGGCATCTGCCCTTCTGCACTCTGCCACGAGAAGGAAGCTGCAGAAACATCCGGACAGGCCCTGCAGTGAGCCTACGTTGTGCATTTCCTCCTCTGGGAGAGCTGCTTCCAGCAGCAATAACGCTCATCTCTGGGACACACCTAGATGAACTTTTCATAGGCTTTACTTAATGGAAGCTGTTATGAATTCAGATAAACGCCACACGGATTCAAAGCTTTCTTGGGTTTGCTGGCGAATCCAAGGTTTCAACAGGCTGTGGTCTTTGTGTCACCAACTCATCTCACCATGGAATCACACAGCCAAAGAAACAGCCCTTGCACTTTATGATCAGCTGCAGAACTGCAGTCATTGCAGAACTCGAAGGAAAAGACCATGAAAAAGTTAAGTGAAGGGAGCAGCACGGAGTGTGCAGGGACTTGCCTGTGTCCCAGCAGCTACCCCTGCCTCACCAGGTGCCTCTACGGCTCCAACGACACGCTGCTCCACACAGGCGGTGCTCCTCACCCCGCCACCAACAACCACCTTCCAGGTGACCACACCAGCACTTCTCAAAGGCACTGCACTGCCGATGCTCTAAGTTAATTTAGATCCCACAATGGAACCAGGAGCCCTGACGGATAACAGTGCGATTCCAGCCATGCTGCTTTGAGCTACTTCCATAAGCATGCAGGACAGGAACCTTCCATGGTGTTGTTTACGGCTGAAATGAAGTGCCAGCATGTGCTGCCCCGGCACATTGCGGATAATTACGGATCTCAAGTCCTTCTGAACGAAGCACACAATTACACAGGCAGCATTTTCCTCATAATTATACTTCTTCAACAGAGTGAATCTGCTCGTAACTCAGAGGAGAGTAATTTGGGGTGGCAGACTTAATCTCATTTATCCTATTTGCTCTTGAAACCCTACCCTAATAAAACAGAAAGTTAAAAAGATTAACAAATAAGATCACAGAACTTGATAGGTGTCAGACCAATTCATGCATCATCAACTGCCTTCCTTGCTAAATTAAACAACAAATAACCCTTTCTGGCTCTTTTACTGGGTGCTCCTGAGCAGCCACAGGCATGGAGCAGAATGTGCAGCAGGAGTTCAAGGTCTCCTCTTCATAGCAGAGCAATGGTATGATCTGCCTTGGTAGGGGATGAGGAAGATGTGGGAACCTCAAGCATACAGACATCCAAACTTGGGATACTCACACCTAATAAGAAGACTCTAAGGACTGCTCATTTAACTGTTCAGCAGCACCTGATAAATGACTTCAGTGTGCTGGTATGCAACAAAACAATGTCCACTCGAATCACAAGGCACGGGCATGAAAAATAAAGCACCTTCTAACTCAAATCACCTTCCTGTACTATTAAGGTAGTGACAAGAGTAATACAAACTCACTGATTCACTGCATGCAAGCAGAACTGGAGACTAATTAGGTTGAGGGGGCAACAGGCAAACATAATTTGTCTAAGCACTAGTACCAGTCTCACTGAAAACTTTCTGAGTCCTTACATCTGCAGCAGCCTGCCCCTGCTCGATACTCCTCTAGAAGCTTCTGGCCAAACCCTGACGGCAAGGAGCATCTACACATTTGTATATGTAAAATCTGTGTAAGGGATTTCTTAGCACTGCTACATCTGGGCAAAGGCTTAACAAACGTACGGTGCTGCAGTGCCCATTGCAGCTGTGTACGTGGGACAGAGGTGCACGGCTGCACCCTGCGACCACAGCTGGAGCTCAGGGCACCCCATGGTGGAGGGCAGCGCTCGCAGCCTTCAGCAGTGGAAATCTGACACATCTCTCACGCGCTCCATTCCAGGAGTGTTCTTTTTATTTTCTTCCATTTATATGTTCTCTCCTTCCCTGAAATCACAGAAAGTACCTTTGTGGAAAAGTCACAGAAAAAAAATGCTTGCTTTCCATTGTTGCTCACTGCCAAAGATAGCTGGCAGATTATTGCACATCTAAAAATATTTTGCAAGGTGCTAAGTCAGTCAGGTCTAAAATGGCATCGCTGGAAACTGTCAGCAGAGAATGTATCTGAGTATCATAACCAACAGGAAAGAGATGGGCAGGTTGTGGGACAGCTCAGGCCACCAGCTCACTGCTCAGTTCTGCCACAGCAGATTTTGATAAATCATCTGATTGCTGTGCTGTGTCTTACTCACTGGCAAGACTGCAGCTAATACACTGTTGCCATAGCACTACACCCTCGCTGTGACTACAGCAGTTGTACTGATAGAAAGTGATATTAAAGTAAAGGATAACAACTCAGAATGTTACATAAAAAGGGGAAAAAGAGAAATAAATACTGGAGACTTTACCACTGGAAGCAGAAACTGATGAGAGGAGTGCCACATGGAGCAGCTCATGCTGGTAATGAGTGGGAGATGGAAAAACATCCACTCTGGGTTGCCAGATGATGCAGTTATCCATCGCAGGAGGCCAAAAGAAGACCCATAAAAAACACTATGAGCCCATTCCTTGTGAAATATGGCTGAGTGAAGCCACAGGTTCAAATCCATCAGCTGCTTAACTGTTTAATTATTCACAAGAAATGTGCTGGGCTGAAATTCACTCAGGTTTAACAAAAGCTGATGAGGTTTCAGCTAACTTTCCATTACACCCTGGACTCAGTCCAAAGGTGAGTGGTTCATGTCTGGCAAAGTACAGATCAGAGGAGCTAAATCAATTAAAAATTCAACTTGAGATATAATGGTTCTTGGTAAAAAGTCTTATCTGGGCTATACTCCCAAAATAAAATATACTCTACCTTTTCCACAAAGCTACTTGAAAGCTCTGGAGCATGTTCCTTTTCTCCCTTTTTAAGCGTCTCTGAATATCTAAGAAAAGACATTACTGTCATGTGAACTGATGAGGAAGAAATACAGAATAGGAACAATACCAATAGCCAACACTGAGTGACATGACCATAGGGACAACCATAACACCATCATCTTCAAGTCCAGAAGCCATACAATGATCTCAGCAGAGACAGATGGACCCAGCAGTCTGGACACGTTCTTACAAGGTACAAATCCAAAGTGACTTTACAGCACAAAGCTGCTCTTTCCAATGCTGGGGCCATTAGAGAGCCTTGTACAAAGGAGGAGAACAAAAATCCTGCGAGGCCGTTACGTTTCTGCCATGACTTGAGAGAGCTGTTCAGGAAATGTACAG